GTCAGCTAATGGGACGGTCATTTTCACCACTTGTTCACAGGCGCGCGGCTTGAACTGAACTGAGTGTAATGTAGAAAATAAGAATTAAACCTGTTTTCAAATCATCTGGGTTAACCCTTTAACGCTTAGTGGCTTCTATAGAGATCACTTATCAATAAGGTCAAATACATGCATTATCACAACTAAATCGTTTCTAAAAACGAAAAAATAATTTGCCCTTTAAAGGGTTAAAATAACATATGTTTTTCAGTGTGTTGATAGATATGTTTTGTTATTGTTATAATTAAATAAAAGTAGGTATTTAATTTTGAATGTTGAATTTATTGCACTGAGTATTGATGGAAATGGTTTGCGCCAACCCTACACGGTCAATAGTATTATCAATATCCCCTCCAATTTTCAGTATTGATGCCCGAAAATCAAAAAATCCGGATTTTTATCAATACTCTATCAATATTTACCATCACTAAAATTTTTTATCTTACACTGTCAATATTATTGTCAATATGCTAAGGTATTGTCAATATTATTGATCGTGTAAGGGCCGCTTTAGAAAAGCATACTTATCAAATGAAAAACATTGATGGCGCTTCTAAAATGCAATAAAAATCGTTCAAAATACTTTCCCTCTTTATACGATGAAAGTTTTATGAATTTTTTTGATAAAATTGATGTTTTATGAGTTATTATTAGGTAGTCTCAATTGCAATGCCTTACTCAGTATATTGAATATAGTCTTTTAAACAAACTTCTTACAAAGATTCAACGCAGTTGGTGTCCTCTTATAAAACAAGTTCATACTCCTACTTAAAAAATTTGGCGTTTACAAATCGGTACCTACCGACGAATAGTATCAACAATTCGATATTATTCTTGAAGGACACATTCGGGACACATTATCGATTTTTCTCTATGCAAGAAATACGAAAATATATGCAACTTATTTTACGTTTTTCGTAGTAATACGTTAGGGCGCGTATAGTAAAATTTAAATTTTCATGAATGGCGACATATAAGTCACCCTGCCATCTAGGCATCACGACCACGAACTAAATTCTTTGGATAACTATGTATATCTATAAACAAGGTATGAATGGTTCAAACCGATAAAGAAGGGATGCTAAAGAATATGTTCAATATCCATCAGATGGAAGAATACATACAAATACAAAATGACTTTATTAAATTATTAAACGGTTTAAAATTAATAATACACTATATACAATACTTAATACAAATACTTAATATAAACGTATACATTGGAAGAACAATTGAATATCTCAGGAACTATGAACACTGTGAAATAAAAACATATACAGGATGGTTCAGATTTTAATCGGGAAACTTTACTAAGATGTACTACCTACTACCTAGTTGCCAAAATACCACAAGTTTTTTACAGGGTGTCCTATCGGTTGTGGTATAGGCTTTTTTGAAGTCTAAATTTTAAGATAGAAACTCCAAATTCGGTATGTATTAAGCCACCCTACTTGACCAGGTGGTGATAATGTCAAATACATTTTTTATAGTACGGTTTGCGAATAATTTGCAAAAATAATAAAAATTACAAAATTTATGGTTTTATTTTTTAACGATTCTTATACCCAAAAAAAATGCGGTTTATCCATAATTTACGACAAAAATTAAGAAAAATGAAATGACAAGTACTGGTTAACACCTTATATTATTTTCAAGCATACCTTAAGATTCACTAGCGCCCTCTGTTATAAAAAGTTGGGGTTGTTGGGGAATTTTAAGGTGATGATGTCGAGGTGATGATTGATCGGGTTAAATATTACTTTTAGGAATGTCTAAATAATAGAATAACAAAATTTTAAAGAATCTAATTATCCTCCGCCCTGTTTTGTAATTAGACAATGCATGCCTTCTCAAAACATTTCTTAGAAGATAAGAGATAATGAGTACTTATATATCACCCTATTATTTTTCTACAATTTGCAAGTAAAGTGTGTTCTTTAATNAGGTATGAATGGTTCAAACCGATAAAGAAGGGATGCTAAAGAATATGTTCAATATGAATCAGATGGAAGAATACATACAAATACAAAATGACTTTATTAAATTATTAAACGGTTTAAAATTAATAATACACTATATACAATACTTAATACAAATACTTAATATAAACGTATACATTGGAAGAACAATTGAATATCTCAGGAACTATGAACACTGTGAAATAAAAACATATACAGGATGGTTCAGATTTTAATCGGGAAACTTTACTAAGATGTACTACCTACTACCTACTTCCCAAAATACCACAAGTTTTTTAC